AGTAAGGATAAATAAACATCATTGGTGATTTTCTGAATGCTGAGTATTCCTCTTATAAGTTCCATTATATATATTATTACATTTTTTAAGTGGACATGTGCTGGACATTTGCTTCTCTCAGTATGGCCACAGGGATAAATATCAGTACATCTGGTTTGTCAGGACTTCAGAAGATTTGTGGGTGCTTCATTAGTGAGCCAGAAAGCAGTATAAACTTGTCACTGCAGAGTTGCAATACTGCACATTCTGAAGGGCAAAGCCTTTTTAAAATTTTTGTTTAAACTTTTGACAAGGACAATACGTGGTCCATAAAACTGAGCTGTTAACCTAGAGAAGCTGCAATTAAATAGAAATAAATGCCTCTGCCTAGGTGATCCAACTTGGTTGTAATAAAGAAAAAAAGGACTGAAAGAAGAATATACCTTTTAGGAATGATTAGCATGGAATTCTCAAAAAAACACAACTTAAAAATCACATTAAAAGGATGTGATTTTTTCTGGATCGTGACATATTTAAATTCTAGTGTTGATGTTTAAGTTTCTGTATTTATCCTCCCATTGTTTTAAAATTCATAGTCAACTTCCTCAGGTTTTGTAAATGTAGTTGACCTTACAAAAGAAAAACAGTATAGAAATCTCTGGCCTAAGAGGTATATATCTGGAGAAATTACACGATAAGCATGAGCAGTTTTTCTAAAGCTTATAGGAAAGTACAAGTAATTTAAAAATCTTGATGACAGTGAAAGACCACTAGTGTGCACAGCATTCTTAATTTATGTTAATTTACAGTTTTGAATGATTACTGAACATTTTGTAGGTTTGCCAATTTTCTCTACTGTTGACTGCATTCCAGTGCAAGTACTCATGTGAGAGATGATACAGTGACTCTCCTAAAGAGGCTGCAAACTGTATACCTGTGCTTTTGCTAATATGTTTTCCATGCTATGTTTTCCATGGGATCAACTCTCTGTTATCCATAAAATTGCTGTTAGATAAAACATATTCCATCAACTTGTCATAGAAAGTGCTCTTCAAAATCACTGTAAGAAGAAGTTTAACTTTCTGACAAAAGAACAGCCTCCACGAGAACATGGGTACACGTTACAACCAAAAACAGAGACACGTGTGGTTGGCACATGTTTTGTTGGATTTGAGGACAGGCGTGTGTGAGAAAAAAATGCAGAAAAGATGCAGAGAAGACACAGAAACCCATACACAGGCCTGAGCAATGGCTGGGAATGTAGCTGTAAGAAAAACAGAGCAAGAGAGATTCAAGATGACTATCAACAAAAAAATGACCTGAGACTTCAGGTGAAATTTTCACGTGGTTTCAGAGGAAAAGAACATACACACAGTCTTCATAAACAGAGTGCATCCAACCATCTGATGCCATCATATATTTTTTTCTGACCAGAAACACTGCACTAGCCATTCAAGTCAAGGCAGGTAAGAATACATTGGCAATTTTAAAGACAGTTGCGTTCTAAATAGATACATAAATTAAAATAACTTGGCAGCATTCAAAATATGAATTTTCCCATCAGGAAAATATATCCACATACACCACAAAATGTGTTTTATACTTTCATTCGCTAGATTTTTGCCTAAACTTACTCATTATTTTCATACCTTCCATGGTTCCATTGCTGTTTCCCCTCATTTGCAGATTAAAGTCAGTGTTTTGTTTACTCCAGGCTACACTAGTGATTACTCTCTTCTGGTCAAAGTACTTTTTTTCTCCTACATTTCTTTAGGCAATGTTTATCTTTTCTCTGCCATTAGACTGAGTTCTCCCTAATATTGTGGATTGTTTTCTTCTTTCTTGCTCCCACAGATAGAGGCAGCATATAAAAGCCCTTATTTTCTTTATTTTCCTATTTTGACTCTTCTTCTTTGGCAAAAATAATTGAAGACATGAACCTCTTCATGTTCCTCTTAAAGAATGACTGGCTTAAAAAGGATGCCTCTATAAGCTGGTTTTTCTATTTTTAGAAAAGAAATTTTAGCGTAAGCCTCTATCTTACTGGTTTTACTTTTTTTCCTCTTCATTGTGTTTATGGAATAGCCAAACGCCCATTGAGGCAAAAGAAGAATGTACTGTGAGTAGACAATGAATGAAAAACTCTCTTTGGTGGGTACGTAATTTTAGTACTACAGAAAAAGTATTTGTGATCGAATAATGTTTGGATAAAAAGTTCAGTTAAATAGGGACAATCTGTTGCTAAAGAGATTGCTTGTGAAAGCCATTCTTATAAAATTTCTATTTATAGTATAGCATAAAAAGTACTTATATGAAAAACTTTCACAAAAAATGCTATTTATCTGCAGACCTAAAAATACGATCTTTCCTTTTTTCATTTTTTCCCACTTAATTTAAGAAACTTCATTTAGACCACTAAAATAAAAATAAAAATAAATAAAAAAATTAAATTAAAATAAAAAATAAAATAAATAAAAAAATAAAATATTTATTATATTTAAAATGTCAATGTTGTGCTGTTTTTATGATTGTCTGGAAACAACTAAGCACACTGCTAAACTTGGATGTTGCCTCATAATCTTCAGAAGTACTGAAGTTGACTGTCCAGCCCAGGGACACGCTAAGCAGACACGTTATCCACATCTGAGCTTTCCTTAAGAATGAAAAAGTGGTCACCTAAACAATTAGTAATAGAAGTCTAGGCAGTTTGTTTTATTTTTAAAAACTAGATTTATAAGGGTAAATGCAGCTTTTTCTAGTCCATTTGAATTTTGAATGGGAAGTATCATGCCTTATTTTACAGTTAGTCATGACATTCTTATGGTCACCTTATTTTCTACATCTTCTCATTAATACCAACTAGCACATGAAAAGTAAGAAAAATGCTTAGTATTCCTACGTCGTTGATGATTACTCAAAAATATTATAAGGCCTATGGGGGAAGGAGTGTCACACACATATTTGATAGCCTCTCTGTGAGGGTTTGTTTCATTATGATGAACACTGTATTACATGTCAATCTGACGACCTTCATGGTGTTATGAAGTTAGTATAAAACCACAAAACAGTTGAATATTCAAGATCTATCAAACTGATCAGCAGTTACATCTTCTTCCTCCTTCTCACTCCTTTAATAATCTTCCCTCCCAACAATAAAATTGTGTATATTTAAATGAAGATTTTCTTACCAGGCCTCTACAAGCTTTACCCTCTTCTAAAAGCAGTTCAGAGATTTCTATATGAGACTTCTTTATGGCTGGTGCTCTTCACATGTAATAGATATAATCTGTCCAGTTCCCAAAAATTTCATTCAAAATGCTATATACTGATGCCAAAATGCCTGAAATAGAAAATTTCACATGTAATTTCAGGGAAGTTATAGAGCTGTAATAACCTGGCTATAGGAATACAACTACATATTTAGGTAGCTGTAGAATAAGAGTTAATTATTGTCCTTAGGAATATGGTTTTTTTCCATTTGCAGAAATTTAAAGGATAAGTTCTTACGACTCTGTATGTGCCAAGCAAAAAGTTACAGCTATTAATATAATAGGTTTCCTCCAGCATACACACTTCCCTTTGATTGCAAAAACATACTGCAACTTTTTAATTAAGCGTTATTTTTGGTTATGTGTTAATGCAGAGCTCAGAAAAGGCTCTGGATTGCTAGCCTAGTGCACTGAAATCCTTATTTAGCCACAAAAACAAACAGTGCAGGAATAATGATTATAGCAAACTTCCTGGTGCTGTTTCACGGGTGAACCCCAGAGGGACCCAGAAGGTTATAATGTAGTTCAATTTCTTACATATTTCTCTGGAATATGTGGACTCTCCACCTATATCATGTTACCACAGTATTACTGCTCATACTGCTCAGCTGTTACTTAGGAGTAATTAGGCAGACAAGAAATCTTCTTATAAACAACACAGAAGAAAATACGTTACAAAAATTAATTTGGCTTCCCACAGACAATGCAACTCCTATTCACTTATTTTATGCTCCAAATTTGTTTATTCTCTGTGGGTTTGGTCTGCTTTTAAGTTTCATAGTTTCTCAGAGGAAGTGGGCTTGGCATTATATAGTTGCCTGGGAAGCATTGCCCATGCCTGTGATTCCGCAGAAATATTTTTAGTATGATGGAAGGCTCTCCTACGTTTATCACTAATAGCTGCTCATAAACCAGCTCCTTCATAACACTTGAAGTGTCCTCAGTTTCCTCCTGTCTAGGCACAGACCTAAGAACCCAGTTCTTCGCTTTCTTGAGAAACTCTTATCGTTAATGGGGAAAAAAAAAAAAAAGTCTGAGGTGTTTTTTTTCCCTACACTAACGTACTAAATCGATCCTAAAGAACACAGTCAAAGTCTCTAAGACACTCCAAAACACTGGTGTGAGCAGATGCCTAAGGACGCCCTCAGCCCGTTCCCGAACCGCCTGGGGCGTATCTCAGCGCCGGCTCCCTAACACCGCCTCTGATATACGGCCGAGTGACTGGGCGTTTATGCTTAGGACTCCCAAGCCTGTTTGCCACACCTCTTCCACGGGGCTCGGCACGACAGATTACATTATTATTATTTGCACCACAGAAAGCTACTGACCCCCTGACCGAGCAGCACCCCGGGCTGCCCCGGCCGCTTCCCGCGCCTTTGTCACCTCAGAACCCTCCTGCCGTCACCGCTCCCCCGCCCGCCCTTCCTCCTCTCCTCCCAGTCCTGCTCAGGCAAACGAGGCCTGTTACAAGCAGCCGGTGAGGAGAACAGCTCTTGTGATGCTGGAAGGAGAAATTAAAGTGTATCTAAAACTCCTAAAGCGCCCTGCGAGCCCCAAACACGCTACCGGGGTGCCGCCTCGCCTCCTCCCTCAGACCGGGCTGAGCGCAACTTGCCCACGCAGGAGAATGGACAGAAGTGCCTTCAGGATTTTACCTCAGGTCCACTCCTTTTACTTCGCAGACCTGCTTCTCGTGTTTTATAATGACCGCTTCTTGCTCTCCTTTTGGAGTATTGGCATTATTTTATAAAGAATAATTAACAACGTATAAGTGGGTTCCCCCTCGCCAGGCAATGGAACCGCCCGCCGGGTTCCTGGAGCCGAGGCTCCGAGTTTAACCCGTTTCCTGCCGAATCCCAAAGGCTCTGCCTGGTGGACGAAAGTGGGATTCTGCCTCGGGTTCTGCTGCCCTGGAACACCGCGGGCAGGTTCGGGTGGTGAGGACTACTGCATACAGGCGTTGTGAAACGGGAGAGCGACCACCACATCCTCAAAACGGACTTAAATGCCATCAGGTAAAGTCATCTCACATGTTTTCTTTGTAGTGTTTGGAAACGTGTGACAATGCTCAAATAGTGATTGGGGAAACTGTTGTTTGTTTGTTTGTTTGTTTGTTTTTGGTTTTCGGGTTTTTTTTTTTAATGATTACCAGTGGAGAACTCTGTAGCCCCTGCATGGCACCTACCTGCCCCCCAGGTGAGCAATCTCCTCACCCCTGGAGACGGACCATTGTCAGCCAGAGCAGCTGCTCCCATCAGGTGGGCTCAGTCACCTTTCAGAAACTTTTCTTTTTAGCAATATCTGCAGAAATTGAGGTGTCCTGGCCCTGAGACCTTATTGTCTTGACCTGCAGTCCTGGCCTGCATTTCTCAATTTAATGTCTAAGGTAAGACAGTATGGATTTTGATATACAGTCTTTCCCAGTTGCAGTTGCTGAGAGACTACAGAAAATTGTAGTAAATTACTTCTTAAAATAGTGTAATGCAAGGAGTCATTTACCTCAAATTTCTCTTTCTTTGACTATTCCTCCATTTCTCTATTCCTTCTTCTCCTCAGTTTCAAGTGGCCATTCAATTCCTCAAAAATCTTCAGTTATACCAAACAAAAGTAAAAAAACTCTTTCAATTTATCCTCAGTTCTTAGTCTCTTCAGTTTCTTGACTCTATTAAACACTAGAAACCCCATTTCCCTTCCTTAAATTGTTTTCTAGGTTCATATCATTGGATCCTTTGGGAGTTGTCCCTGACCCTAATGCCTGCAATCAAATGTTTTTCTTTCAGTATCTTCCATCTTTGACATATTTTCCAGATGACGGTTCCTTCTCAGAAGCATGTTTTTTTCTTTCCATTGTTTTATTCTCTGAATCCCACAGGATAATGCTCTGAACTGTAATGAACTGTATGGTAAGAGCCATTTACATATTTTAGGAAAAAGGGAGGTATATAGCTTAAAGTAAATGCAGAAGAAAAATTGTTACTTTTACTCCAAGTTATTAAGGTTATTAGGCATGTTTTGGTAGCAGGGAACATGAGAAAGACTTAGGTCAGAAGAACTTCTGAAAGCAGCACTAGTGCAGGAGAACTTTTTCCAGAAGCTTCCCAAGTGATACGATAGATCTATGAATTACAGTTCCTTGTCTGCTTAAGGCCAAGCAAGGTGAGTTACTTGTGCTGGTGTTGGACAAATCATGAACATTGGTGTCATATTTCCTTTAACATACTAGGCATTAGAATATTTAAATTTATTACAGCTGCATTGCCTGAAAAATGTTTTGTGCATTGGCTTGTATTTCGACATCAGGCCTGCCTTTCTAATCTAGAAAGTACACATGGTGTACAACTGCAACCACAGCCTTCAAAAGTAAAAGGAGAAGGAAACGCATTTTGCAAAGTAACAACAGTAAATTGCAAGATTTTGTTTACACATTGCATATGAGAAATGTCTGCTTTTACTTACGGAACTTGGATGAGTTTTTAATAAAAGGATAAACCAGGGGACTGTATTCACTCTGAATTTTGTTGTTTGCTTGTCTTTGATCAAATGTAGAGCTTTCCTTGTCATACGATAAAGTGTAGAGAGCACTGGGAACTTTTGAAGTGGCGTTGGATTCTGTTGACCTCCTGATCCACTGTCAAGTTAGAAAGGTCCTCTAACACTACAGCCATGCAAGATGGTTATGATTCTTTGTTGGTTTGAGTTTTGTTTTTTGTTTTGGGGTCTTTGGGTATGCTGGTTTTGGCTGGGATAAAATTAGTTTTCTTCACAGTGGCTGGTATAGAGCTGTGTTTTGGATTTGTCCTGAACACAGTGATGGTAATAGAGAGGTTTTTGTAATTGATGAGCAGCAGTTTACACAGACACAAGGCCTTTTCTGCTTTACAGAGTGCCACACTGGCAAAGGAGGCTGGAGTGCATGGGAGGTTGGGAGAATACACAACTGGAACAGGTGACCCCAACTGGGGTGACCCCAAAGGGATACTACATACCATACTACATTGTGCTCAATATATAAAGGTGGGGGGGAAGAAGAAGGAAAGAGAGGATGTTTGGAGTGATGACATTTATCTTCCCAAGTAACCATTACAGGTGATGGGGCCCTGCTCTCCTGGAAATGGCTGAACACCTGCCTGCTCATGGGAAGCAGGGAATTAATTCCTTATTTTGTTTTGTTTATGTGCATGGCTTTTGCCTTCCCTACTAAACTGTCTTTACCTCAACCCACAAGTTTTCTAGCTTTTACCCTTCCATTTCTCTACCCAATCCCATTGGCAGGGGAAAGAGCAAGTGGCTGTGCAGGGTTTGGCTGCTGCCTGGGGTTAAACCATGACACTGGGGTTTGTCAGTTTGGGGATTTGTTTGTTTGTTTGGAGTTTTTTTGTGGTTTTTTTGGTTGTTTTGGTTTTTGTTTGTTTGTTTTTGTTGTTGTTGTTGCAATCTACAGCTTTTTTCTCTTCCTTTAGAAATAAGCAAGGAGAGAATATGAGACTTCTGTTTCTAGTCTGGGTTCAGCCATTCGAAATAGCTATAAACCTTTCATTGAAGAAGGCGCAATGGCTACTTTTACTTGATTTAATGTTGTCCATATTGACTTTTTTTTTTGCAGTGCATTAAACTGAATGCTCCTTGTGGCATCTGTCAACTCCTGTCAAGAAATTCGGAGTTGGGCCTGTTCAGCATTGAGAAGAGACAGCTGAGAGGGGACCTCATCAATGTCTATCAGTATCTGACAGGAGGGTGTCAAAGATGGAACCAAGTTCTGCTCAGTGATGCTGAGCAATACGACAATACGGGCAGAACCTGATGCACAGGAAGCTCCACTTGGATATGAGGAAGAAAGTCTTTACTGTATAGGTGCCTGTGCACTGGAACAGGTTGCCCAGAGAGGTTATGGAGTCTCCCTCACTGGAGATATTCAAGAATCTTCTGGATGCAGTCCTGTGCCATGTGTTCTGGGATGGCCCTGCTTGAGTGGAGAGGTTGGACCAAATGACCCACTGTAGTCCCTTCCAACCTGACCCATTCGTGATTCTGTGATTATATTGAGGTGTGGAAACATAGGTTAGCAAAAGAACACCAAACACTATGTTGACATATGAAGGTAAAAATTACATCCTTTAATAGTTGAAATCTATTGGAACCACATACACTAAAATACCTCAGTCCCAGTAAAATTCTGCAAACAGTTACACGTCCCTCTAAAGTCCCTGAAAATATCAATATAGCTTTTAAATCTTAGCCCTACTGGATGTATAATTTGTCCTGGAACCAAATTTTTCTTTTACTATTTCATTATAGTTATTGCTTTAAAGTTGCATTAGAGGATAATGAGTGTTATAAATCTTCCTCTATTCTTTGAATGTTTACCCCATAGATGTGTTTTTTCCATTAGTGCCTTCTTGTTCTTGTTTCGGGAGTTGAGCAAATGGTGTCCAGTTGTTTTACTTCCCTAAAATAATAATACAAGTTTTGTGGCTCATTAATTTACAAAAAGCCCATTATGTCTAGTGAATCTTTATCCAATTAACAGTTAAGGAACCGTTTCTAAATTTTAACCTCCAAACATGAAATTTATGGTGGTCAAAAATATGCTGAATTTTTGGTCCAAGGAGGTAAAATGTTTAAAAAAGGTGATGTACCCAGAGATCTTAAGTTATTTTTTTAACATACTCTGATGTAACATTCAGCCTCCTATCTGGGAGTAAATTGTCTTGGGGCATAAAGACTTAGATAAAGCAGGTAATGTGTAATCCATCAGTTGGGGCGTTCAGTCAGGAACCTGCTCTCACACTCACAGAGCTCAGCTGCATTACTGGCAGTGGGCTTCTTCCCCACTAGATGGTGTCACTGGAGCAGCTACGACTTCCCTGTTTGAAGGGAATTCCCACTCATGAATAGGCTCTAAGATGTAAGAGGACAATTAAAAGTACTTTCAAACAAACTTCTTTCCTGTTTTGTAGAAAGCAAAGACTCCAATAAGATTATAAAGAAGGATAAACTTTACAAAGATAGATGAAGTATTTGAGTCACTCAATGAATGTAAATATGTGTGGTGATAACACTAATATGCAAAACTTATTAGGACACTTTGGAGAAAGATCTGTTTTAGAAATTTGACATTCTAAATGGTGGCAGTCATAATCTGTTGTCTAACTCAAAAAGAATGGTTTATTTCAGCACAAAGTAATCCATAATCTACATGGCATGAATGATTCTGTGGAGGACCTTAGTTGTATCAGAGGGATATTTGCAGAACTGCTTTTCATGTGTAAAGACAGCAGCAGAAGTTGAAGCTGTGAATATATTTAGAAAGACAAGTAGTTGTATCAAAAATACATGACATAAACATTAGGCAGCTGAATGTTCAGAGCTATGAGAAAGTAATGCTGCATATGAAAAGTAACTTGTAGCAATTCAAAGCCTCTCACTTCTTTTTCACCCGTGAAACTTCAGTTTCTTTAAAATAAACAGGCAAAATCCTCTTCAGTTGAGCAGTTTTATAAGTGTGGACTGCTTACAAAAGAATTACTCCACAGCTCTTACTCCTCCAGTAGTTTCCGTGTTTCTCCCTCTGATCCTCTACATGTTATCTCAGTGCTTACTCTCAAGGCCAGATACTTCTGAAAGGTGTGGGTTATCTGAGATGCAGACTGCAACCATGAAAATATAGCATGTTGAAAATAGGAGCATTGAATAATAAAGTTAATTTGTAAAGCTTTGTTTGTTAATCATTAGTGAAAATTTTTTACAGAAAGGCTAAGTGAATTGCTTAGAGTAGTTAAACAAGTCAAAAAATAGCTTCACTCCGTACACTGAAAAGTTTGCAGTGTTCCTTGTCAGCATCCAGTTTTATTTTCTGAAATACTAAGTTGTGAAAACATCCTGGTGCAAGTTGCTGCTATTAGAGATAGGCAGGAAGTGAGACATTTTAGGAAATAAGAGATTTTCCAGTATGGCATCTTTTGTTATCAGCATGATTATTAAAATCGGATACCAACACATCCTGGCTGAACCTTCTCAGTTCAGACCTTCCTTTTGACTTTCTTGACAGATACCTTGATATTGTCCTTCATTCCATCCTACTGTATCCCTTGTGATTGTTCAAATGTTCTCTTCACAACACTGATAACCATCTCATTTTTACAGGCAGTAAAAAGTCTTTTTCTTGAGAAATCTCTGAGTTTTTTCCTCTATTACTATTGCCCTGAGTAGGACCAGATGACACAGTGATAATATCTCTAGCCTATACTGTAGAAACACCAATAGAGTTGCATAAGTGTGTGAAAAACAAACAAATTAAACAAAGAGACATTTCATTAAGATTGTGGCATATGTTTGCTGGAATTTCTACATACAATTTTATTTTCCTTCTTACCTTGACTGATAAAAGTGCTTGGATACCAGCTATTTCAAAATGATCCTGTCCACCTTCCTTCTCTGGAAGGTCATTTTTCTAATGTCCTACCTGGTTCCCACAGTCATTTCTGCTTCTAATCCAATTTCTGTCTTCATTTTTGCAGCCTACCATAGTCTTGTATTTTAGAAAGAGAATTTCAAGAGACATCTAGATACTATTCATCAAAAAACAGATTAAATTAATGTTTCACAATCTCACTGCTGAAGTAAATGATTTTCGGAACCAGAGATATCCAAATTTGAAACAGATAGACTTAGCAAAGAAAAAAAGTAAAAAAGGGAAAAAAAGAAAGTAAATCTAAATTGTACAGCAGGTAGGTTAACAAAATGGTAAAGCAACAGCATTAAAAAATAGCTAGTGTTGAGCAAAGAAGTGATTTTTCCATCTTTTAGTTATGCTTGCCACCTGCTGCCAAAATTGTTTGTGCCAGGATCTAGCTGACATTTAAAGTATGTTGAGTATAATGTAAGAAATGGTATAGGAGCATTCTGTACATTAAGAGTGAGGGAGAGTTGGATCTGGGGAAATCGTATATAATAGAAAAATTTAGAGCTGATGTGTAACTAGAGTGGTCCACAAGATTTGTGGAACATGATTTCTCTCTAAAAAGCCAAGTTTATGCTTTCCTCTTTATTAGTATTTATCCATGGTTCCATTATTTGCATGTTATATTGTTGTTTTTATCAATTTCCCTGCAGTGAACATCAGGCTTTCCAGCCTGCAGTTCCAGGTAAACTGGACAAATTTTAATAACAGTAATTTTATTTGATGATGGCTATATTCTGATACAGGAATCATGGAAGTTTTACAGTTAAGAAAAAGAAAAATTGTTTACAGTTTTATCTTATAATAAAGCAGGTAACATCATTTTAATTGAAGTAATGAAAGTAACGACTTGACACAAAATTTACACAGAAATGCACTTAGAACCAAGACTTAGTTAAAGGCATTTAGTAGCAAATATACCAGTCATTGTGATAGTTAGAATTGTGGTTATGTATTATAATCTATTATTATGTATTATGTATGCTCTGCTGCAATGTGATTTGAGTTCTGATTTTTAAGGCTGGCAAATGTGTGAGGTACTTTCTTCATATATTCTTAGGAATTCCATAAATAAAACTATGAATTGATTCTTCTCATACAGTGTCTATTCTGTTTTACCTGACTATTTGCATGAATGAACAAATTTCCTTATCATGTTTCCCTTGTAATTAGACTCAGTACATGCCATTGCACACATAATAAGTTTTAATCAGTTAATAAAATCTGATAATCTATTGATTGTACAGTGTCTACAGTGATAAACACACATATTCTTCATTTCCATTTTGAACTAAAACACTTATTCATTAGTACTTTTTATTAGCCTTGACTTGGTAAATTTTTCCATCTAAAAGAAGAAATGGATTTTGCTGAACATAGAGGTACCTGTAAAATAACTGTGTCACGGTGTCTCTGTGATATTGCTGAACTGGCCACTGAGGAAAGGACGTACTTTCGTTCAGACCCAGTCACTGTTTTCTGTTGTACAGTGTTAGCATAAAGCTTGGAATTTTCTTCCCAACAACATTTTGACTTGGGCAATTTCAAATATCTGGAATCTATATAATATCAGATTTATAGTTAGAAACATTCATCTCTGTTGAATGAAAGCTGTATTCACACTACAGTGAGTCACTCATATCTCATTTTCAATCCCTTATGTTCCTTCCAGACCTTTAACATGAGCTTAGTCAGTAATGCATCCATTTGTGCAGTGAGAACAAAAACAAATTAAGCACATAAAAATAACTGTCCAAGATTAATTAAATTCAATTTAATATAAATTGGACTAATATTATACTTTATTTACAAACTGCCACTTTAAATTATTTCTTCTACCAAAGCATATCAAAGTAAAGAGCTGGAAATCTTATTGCTTTATCAAGATCGTGATCTGTTTAGTCTAACAGTAATTTCATAAATCCCATGATTGAAATACAAATATAGAATGTGAAACCTTATTAGGAAGGACAGACAAAGAAGGTGAGTACGATATTACTCTTCAAGCACGCTTGCTCTGAGAGGCAGAGTCTGTCAGGAGATAAAGGTGTTTAAAATCTGTAGTCATGATAAAAGAGAAAAATCACAAAGGTGCTTTCATGGTTAGTCAGGATAAAACACCAATCAAAGGTGATGAGGTAGATGAAATAATTTCAGACTAGGCTGGACTTTGGTAGAAGTACAGCATGCAGCAGAATGCAAAATATTAACAAGTTCTTGGAATGTATTGGCCAAATTTGTTATTCCAACAGTAAGAAAGAAAACAGGATGAAATGCATCTGATGTTTGGTATAGAGAGCGAATTTGAAGGTGAAAAGCAACATTGATGATTGTGGTAATAAACTACAGATTTCATTATTTCAAGGATGAAAATAAAAAATACCATTCGTAAAAAAAATCTCATAGGAAAGGATTCTAATGGAATAAAGAGCTCAGGAATGCCAGCAGCTCCTTAGAAAAAAATATTAAGGACATAGAAGAGAAATATTTCAAAGTGAAGGAGGTTGGAATAATAAAATGAAAAATGCAGGATAGAGAACGACAGATTTGCAAAGAAAGATCAGAGAGTATTAGTAGCTATCCTGAATATCTATCAGCATTGTCATCCTAGTGTCTAATAATCCAGCACAATATTTAGATGCTTAAATAAGAATATCCTCAGTAAGATATATGAAGTAATACGTCCACTGCATTTGAAACTGATAAAACCTAAAATTGAGTGGGTTTTTTTCAGTTTCGGTGACTGTATTTCGTTAAAGTTTTGGGCAACTGGAGAAAAGCTACAAAGGATGAGTAAAAACAGCCCACTGGAAAACATGACACACCTGACTACTTGAACAAAATGAACTCAATAAAAATATGAATGAACAAAATAACCTAACAAAAAGAACTCAGGCTGTTCAGCCAAAAGTAGGATGGCTTGTGTTCAAATATCCAAAGTGTTTCTGAAAATGGGAAGTACCAGTGTTTGCTCTGAAATAAGAAATAACAGCTCGGTTTGCAGGAAGAAAGATTTATGTTAAGCATCAAAGGGGAAAGCAAAACAAAACAAAACAAGCCCCCCAAACCACCAGTACTTTCACACTTGGGTAGTTAAATATTGAAGTAGATGGCCTGAAAGACTGCAGTATCTTTGACACTGAAGGTTTAAGGACAGGTAATGTAAATGGTTTAGATCTTGTCTTAGGGCAAGAGAATAGACTAAAGGCATTTCCTTTCAATTATTTGTGATTCTTAGATTTTATACCTCCCTTTCAGAATTAAGACAGCTGTGAGAAAAAGGCTTATAGGTATCATGATGAATGATCCTCTCATGCAAGGGAATGAAAATGAAAATTGAAAGTATGTAAGTAACAGTCACCTCCCATTTTTAAAATGTTTACCATTTGTATTTGCTCTTTGCCAAAGGCAGCCCTTTGGAGCAGCAGTCACTCCACAGAAATCAATACAGGCCTTTTATTTCATAGCTACTGAGAAATTCCAAGCTAACTTGTTTCCTTCAAAACAGCAAAGCAAAATGTTTGAGTGGGTCACAGAGTGCTGATGAAGAACCCTCTCGGCATGTGGAGTATTTTGCAACTGTTATATTGGTTTCCTGTGCACAATTCTTCTCATCCTTGGAACTCATACAGTGTTACATTACTTCTTCCTTTTCTCTGCCTTGTTTTTTTCCTCTCCTGCAACTACTGCTGCAGACAGTGTTTGCATACACTGGTGTGTGATTTGTTATTATGTCCCAGCTGAGCAGAATTGATAAATGGCTGTCATGGTCAGGAATAAGGATGTGGCTTTGTAAAGTCAGTGTGTATAGTTGTGATTTTAAGAGTGGTTAATCACAGCTTGTGGTTTGCACTGGAAATATGATAGATGTGTTCTGATATGATGAAATGGGGTTACGTTTGAGAACAGTGCTTGTCAAGCTTCTAAAACCTGGACCTTCACCATTTACTTTGAAGATTCAAGAAAATTTCTCTCACAAGCTGTTATTCACTGCTATTCAATCTTCTGAGAAGTAGTGATGGAGTTTTGCCAGATCTCTTTACATCTACAAGGTGTCTTGGGTGGTATCTTTAAACCAGTTTGTAAGAAAATTACTGACTTACACAAGGAGGAACGAATCCTTTACAGGAACCTCTTCAGTATCTTTTATTGCGATTGAAAATAAATATTTTAGTTGTTCTAAGAGGAAAAAATTTCTTTATTAACATTTTCAAGCTATCACAGAATCAGAATATCATCCAGGTTGCAAGAGACCTTCAAGATCATTGAGCACCATCATAATCACCCCTAAACGAGATCCCGAAGTGCCATATCCAGATGTGTCTTGAACGCTTCCAGAGATGGTGATTCCATCACCTCCCTGGGCAACTTATTCCAATGCCTAACTGCTCTTTCAATGGGAAAAAAAAAAATTCTAATATGTAATCTGAGCCTCCAAACATTAACCTCAGAAAATAATGTTTAACAATATTCATAGGACATGCTTAATTCTAAAGATCAAAAGAAATTGTATCTAAATGCACTTAGTGCACTTATTTGGGATGATGTGGGACATCCTGGACTGCCCATTTGAAAAGAAAAGGACCTTTGCAATAAATCTGTGGAGCCTCTGAGCAGAGGATCTAAATTGAAGGTGTAATATACATTAATGCTGAATTTGAAATCATATTTTAAAAGGGTATCACCATTTCTTTAGTGCTTGGACTGCATTTTGGTCTCTGTAAAGCTGTCATTTCTGTGTAGATATCCCTGAGATGTACCCAACCATTTTCAGTGCTGAAGCTTTAGTGTTCGTAAGCTATTGATGTAAATCTGTGGAACTGAACAGGAATCCATGGACATATGCATTTCTGAGACTTGTACAAGTACAAAAGAAATTGCTTTCAAGGAATATATTTGAATTGAAGACAAAGGCAGTTTCAAAGTTGTTATATGATGAATTTAAGTAATTAATCAAAGTATCTTCGAATTTTTCTGTAACAACTTTAAAAGGTTCTGCCTTTGTCACGCGTCCTAGTGGGAGAAGCATTTCATGCGTCCCATGTACTCCATTAGTTTGTCAAAATGGGACTATCCTATTTTGTTGCTAATTACTGGGTTTGGTTATGCAGTAACAAAGACACTTTACATATGGTTTTTAAGTGATTTACTCTTCCTCGTAATTAGATGGCATGATTAAAATACACGTTATAGTATGTCACTGTTTCTCTTAAAGAGTAGCATTTAATGTTGGGGTAGAAGAAGCTCATAAATTAATGGCAACCTGTTTTGATAGGATCATCCCATTAGTCAATTCCTATGATATCAAAAGGCCAATAATTTTTCTTTGTTCAGAAGTCACACTGTAAAAAGGCAATGTACATTTAAATAGTATACTGTAAGCCATTTGAGAACTTAAAAAATGCATTTTAGGATACAGACTTTATTATCATTGTCTTAGAAAACACAGTTTACTTATGGAACATAGGAAAATTCCTAGCACTGTCAGCTGGTTTACATGGATAGGTGTGTTCCCATGAATGACTAATTTTTTTGTATTTGGAACTACTTCAATATCAGGGATGAATGAAGGCAACTGTTAGGTAATCTTACTCATTGTCATCTATCATTACATTTATATGTTTTTCAACATTCTGCATGTGCTATACACAAGATATTTAATTTCTCTCTCCCCCTTTTGCAGTAAAGTACTGTGCTTCATTTCAGACAAGATACTGTACCACTGAAATCCTAATGCAGATATATAGTACTTGGCTTGTAGGCTAAGATTTCCAGACATTGATAACCTCTGATTCAGTTACCCTGTAGTGCAGACAATCTATAAACTTTTAGTTGATAATATGTTCATTGACACTTTCATTATCAGAGCAGGAGCTGGCAGGGCAGAGGAAGGAGTTATGTCAGATTTTTCTCACTCATCAAGTGATTGGAAGGCATTCTAACAGTTAAGTAGATCTCAGAGAAAAGATGAGTGGGTGTCTAAGGAAAGAACTGATCCTGGTTTGCATGGTTGTGCTTGTATCCACCGGTAATTTCCTACAAGGCCTTGGGCATATCACACAAGGATGACAGCTGTAATACCTGTGAGAGTTTCTTA